TCTCTTTTAAGGGTCTGAGTTTGGTGCAGTGGGTTAAAGGTGTACCTGCTATGCCAGTTGCTGTGAGGCTTCTATGCTGGCTAGGGTTCGAGTCTCCTGATGGGAAAGTGTTCTAAAGTTATATATATACTATATATATATATATATATATATATATATATATATATATATATATATATATATATATATATATATATATATATATATATATATATATATATATATATATATATATGTAGGTTTTGGTGTCCCCCATGGCTGTGAAGTAGCAGCTCAGGCAGCACGAGCCTATATTAATCACCTCCCAGAAAATAAGGCATTAATGAAATTAGACTTTAAAAATGCTTTCAACCAGATAAAAAGGGATGTGATATTGAAAGCAGTTCCAACAAGCTTTCCTTGTCTAGTCCTCTTCGTTTCAGCAAGATACAATAGGGAATCGACACTGTTGTTTGGGGAACATGAAGTTGTTTCCGCAGAAGGTGTCCACTTGCCCCTTTCCTTTTCTGCATGGCTGCTAAAGAGGTCACAAGCAGGTTGACCAGCGAACTCAACATCTGGTTCCTGGACGATAGCACCCTGGCGGTGACACAGGAGTCTCTTTTAAGGGATCTACAACTAGTGAAATCTAGGGGAGAGGAGTTAGGACTCACCCTAAATCCATCAAAGTGTGAAATCATCTCATCCAGCCAACCAATCATAGATGCAGTACGAACCGAGTTGCCAGGAACACCAATGATCGCTCCCACCAATAATGCGTTTCTAAGGGCACCTCTGGGCTCGAGCGGCATTGAGGTAGTCCTCGAAGAAAAGCTGAATGACCTGTGGAGGATGGAGGGAAGAATAGGGGCTTTGGATGCCCACGATGCTTTGTACCTCCTCACAAGGTGCCTGGCTTTGCCCAGGCTTACCTATTTCCTAAGGTGTGCTCCCTCCTTCGACAGTCCAAAATTAACAGAATATAACGCGCTCCTAAAATCAATAACCATGAAAGTGCTAAGCCTCTATCTGCAAGATGACTAATGGGACCAAGCAACGCTCCCAGTTAGACTTGGGGGTATAGGTATTCGCAAGGTGACACAGTTAGCATTGCCGGCATTCTTATCCTCGACCAGTGCTACAGGTGAATTAGTGAATGAAATACTGCCAGAATACCTAAGAGACTCCATTGGAATTCATGATCCCAAATTCGCGGACGGAGCCGGCCAGTGGGACAATCTTGCCAACCCTCACCCTCAAGCAACTTTTCCAAACGACAGCTTAACAGGCCAAATGGGACAGCCCCATAGTGGAGAATGTTGCCACAGCATTGCTGGAGGCAGCGTCTGGGAAGGGCAAAGCGCGTCTCTTAGCTGTGCAAGCCCCCCATGCCGGGAAGTTCCTGTTGGCTGTCCTTAATTCCGCTTTAGGCACCTTCCTGGACCATCGGACCCTAAGTATTGGTGTTGCCCTGCGCCTTGCCTCCCCTATCTCCACCGAACACCAGTGTATTTGTGGCTATGCGCGGGCGGACCAATTCGGCAGCCATGGTCTCATCTGTCGTAAACCACCGGGAAAGATTGCCAGACATGAAGCAGTCAATGACATCATCAAGATAAGACACCCAGCTTCAGCTGGGTGTCGTGAAGCTGGGTGTCCAGCCCAAAGGCAACCTCAGTTGTGCAGACCTGACAACAGAAACAAACGCCCAGACGGAGTCACCCTGACGTCAAAGAGAGATGGTAAACAGGTCGTTTATTAGTTTTGTCTAATAAACGTGTGATCGTTTAAAATAATAAGGTCGTGTGGGACTACACGTGTGCGTCTACATTGGCTGATACAAATCTACCTCGCAGTATAGGTGAGGGAGGTGGCCGCGGCCATCTTCAGGGAGACCCAGAAAACTAACAAGTACAGGGACCTAAAACGTTGTTACAGGTTCGTGCAGATAGGCTCTGAAACCCTGGGTGCTGTTACGTACCTCTATAAGATACGTAATTAAATAAATTAATATGTACCTTTATAATTGTGTATAAATTACATGTATGTATATTGATATACTTATATGTTCTATGTAAAATAATTTCATGTTACATTGTTGGCGTTAGGCCCAACGTATCGTGGGAATGATTGTTTTATTTCTTTGTGTATTCAGTTTCCCACGGGAACTAATGATTTATATGTGATCATATGTGGGTAACATAGGTGAATAATAATTGTGTGAACTGTATCTGGCAAATTGTCGTGGGATAGTCCGTTGCTGGATGAGCATGCCATCATTCCCCTTTGTATGTGTATTTTAATTACTATGGAAAGAAATAATTACCTTATTTTTGTTATACCAATATGTATTGACCATTCATTACGTTAGTTTAAGATTACTCTTGTCACCATGTATTGCTCCATTGTAGAATTAATAAATATTGTAACTTTGACAATTTCTCGCGGGGCAGAAGCAATGATTTTGACTCCCGCAGATATGTAGGTCAGTAGCTGATCCGGAACCAGAGAGTTAACATCTTGTGGAGTTAAGTTGTACATTATTGTTCTGTCATAACCATACATATAATAATATTATATTAATTTCTGGGAGAGACAGTAATATTTTAATTTGATATATTTGTGATAAAAGTAACCATCTGTATGCTATTGAGATTTATGTGATATATATATATATATATATATATATATATATATATATATATATATATATATATATATATATATATATATATATATATATATATATATATATATATATATATAATTTTCATCAGAAGTTGCAGTATAAAAATATTCATGGTATGGTTAACAATAACTGTTGAGAGATTTGTTGTTAATTGTTAAGACATTTTTGCTTCTTTTAGTTAGGATTTAGTTTAGTTAAACTTATATATATATATATATATATATATATATATATATATATATATATATATATATATATATGTCGTACCTAGTAGCCAGAACTCACTTTTCAGCCTACAATGCAAGGCCCGATTTGCCTAATAAGCCAAGTTTTCATGAATTAATATATTTTCTCTAATTTTTTTCTTATGAAATGATAAAGCTACCCATTTCATTATGTATGAGGTCAATTTTTTTTTATTGGAGTTAAAATTAACGTAGATATATGACCGAACCTAACCAACCCTACCTAACCTAACCTAACCTATCTTTATAGGTTAGGTTTGGTTAGGTAGCCGAAAAAGTTAGGTTAGGTTAGGTTAGGTAGGTTAGGTAGTCGAAAAGCAATTAATTCATGAAAACTTGGCTTATTAGGCAAATCGGGCCTTGCATAGTAGGCTCAGAAGTGAGTTCTGGCTACTAGGTACGACATATATATATATATATATATATATATATATATATATATATATATATATATATATATATATATATATATATACATATATATATATATATATATATATATATATAAATATATATATATATATATATATATATATATATATATATATATATATATATATATATATATATATATATATATATATATATATATATATATATATATTCCTTCAGTCCTAAAGGAAAATTTTAACAAAGTGCTCATTACTTATTAAGGGGTTACACTGGTGACCCGCTCTTGTGAACAGCAGTTTAGTAACCCTAGACCTTTTTTAATGTTGGCTGTTGTAGGGTCACGAGCCGTAACGAACGATAAGTAACAGGTGCCTGGGGTAAAAGTGCACTTAAGTTCCCAAAAGAGGTGGGTGAGGAACTCATTGGGAAAACGAAAACTCAAGATCGGCCAGTTTCCTGTTCCAGCGCCTCAGTGTCGCGATCCAGAGAGGAAATGAGTGCTGTATCTTGGGCACGCACCCAACCTCCGAAGAGCTGGATGAGGTCTTCGAACATTGATTGTTATTTGTGTGTGTTTTCTGTAAACTGTAGCAATGTAATAAAATAATATATATACTGTATATATTAATTTTAAAACTTACCCACATGATAGTTTTAATATTCTCCCGAGCTTGATCAACGGCCTTATAAAAAATTTGCAATGCATGTATATAGAATTATTACTATATAAAATGTAATGTTTATTATGTATGTTTTAATGAACTTTATATCAATCCTTATGTACCCACTCTGAACATCTTTACAACATCTTTACAATCTTTACATCTTTACAATCCTTATGTACCCAATCCGAACATCTTTACCATTGTGATCATTGCTGTCTTATTTTATGTGGTATCAATCTACTGTATGGTGTCTAATAGTCTTGTTTAAATTACCAATCAAGCTGTCAATGTAATCAATCAGAGCTTTAATATACCAATGTGCTTTACTATACTTACTCTCTCATTTAATTTTTTTCTTGCAATGTATCTGTTATCATTTTATTAATTCTGCTAGAATTTACCTACTTTAAATTATCTGTTAGATTAAGGAGCTGCCCGAAACGCTGCGCGTACTAGTGGCTTTAAAAAGATTGTAAATACTATGCTATGTATTCTCTCAAACCCAATGTACCTTCTTGTATATAAATAAATAAATAAATAAATAAATAAATATATTGTTTATATGACGGAGTGCGTAAATTCATTCTGTTTTTTATTCCGATAGTCGGAGGCAGCCTTTTAAGCTTATCGATGATGGCTAGATATGGTGGCAATAAAGTAAATATTAATAAATTATAGTAAACAACTAAGAAAAGTAATTATTTTGTTAATTTGTTTGCGAAACTATGATGTTTATCCTGCATTATTTATTTTATTCATTTTCTTTGGTTCCGACACCGTTTCGTTTTCTATGATAGTACGAGCGGCCAGAAACCTCTCTGGTACTGTAACACTCCAAACATTGATTTGTCCGTCCGTATGTGGAGTTGCCGCATAATATTTAAATTATATTACAAAAGGTCGCGAAAGACGTAATGTCGGCCATCACGTAAGACTGGTGTGTTAAGATGGCTTGTCAGAGGCGAATGCCTACCTGTCTCCGGCGGTGGTATTAATAGACATGTGGGTTTAATCGAAGCGCGAGAGCTGCCAGTCACTCGCAGCAACGGGAGCGCCTAGACCTGCAATCCCACATCACAACCTAACAGACTTTCCTTCCACCAGTATCTCCTCTTCCTCCTTCTCCTTCTCCTTCTCCTTATCGTCCTCGTATCTGTCTTTACTCCCCCGTTTAGCACAAAGACCGAAGAGGTGGATTTTTTTTAAAAAGTCCACACGACGCCAGCTACGCCAGCATGAGTGGGAGAGAGTAGCGGGCAGGTGCCAGTGTTGTGTGGTGAAAAAGTCCTTCTCACTGAATGACGTGCTCTCCAGGAGTGTCATGACACAGCCCCGTGTTACTGGATGACCTGCACTCTGCAGTATAGCGTCGTGACACAGCCCCGTGTTGCTGGATGACCTGCACTCTCTAGGAAAGTGTCATGCCACAGTCCCGTGTCACTGAATAATCTGAACTCTCCAGGATAGTGTCATGATACGGCCCCGTGTCACTGAATGATCTGCACTCTCCAGGATAGTGTCATGACACAGCCCCGTGTCACTGAATGATCTGCACTCTCCAGGATAGCGTCATGACACAGCCCCGTGTTGCTGGATGACCTGCACTCTCCAAGATAGTGTCATGACACAGCTCCGTGTCACTGAATGATCTGCACTCTCCAGGATAGTGTCATGACACAGCCCCGTGTCACTGGATGACCTGCACTCGCCAGGATAGTGTCATGACACAGCCCCGTGTCACTGAATGATCTGCACTCTCCAGGATAGTGTCATGACATAGCCCCGTGTCGCTGGATGAGCTACACAAACTCCTCGTCTCAGGGTCGCCATGCCGACCACAAAATCTCTCGGTGTGACCGCAATATGAAGTAAGTCATTATAGTTCCCCTTGTCATACACACTTAATTAGTTTATTATTGACTACACTGACGCCGAGCCAGCAGCCCTTGACTCATATTTGTCAATAATGTTCCCCGCAGCAATGCAGTGGACGGCGGTGGTAGGCTACAGTCACACATTAAACACAGAAACAGCGCCCGTGTTCACTTAGCTATGTCAATTTGTGATTGCATGAAATTGTTAATACTGAGAAGGTCGTGGGAGTTTTCAATCTGTTATGACACAAAATGAGTACATTCGCCAAGCAAGTTACAATGGTTTATTGAGTTGATTGTAGTTGTCAGAGTAGTTGTGAAGCACAGTACGTACTATATTTAGATGCAGACACGCATTAGCATCAAATGTTGTCAATTTTACCTGGAGGCTTGACAACACGGGAACAGTGATGAGGTGCGGGTCTGCTAGGCACCGTCGCTCTCACGGGACGGGTAGCGAGCCCATAGTAGCCGCCAGGGACATCCCAAGTGGCGACGCTCAGGGACATCCCAAGTGGCGACGCTCAGGGACATCCCAAGTGGCGGCGCTCAGGGACATCCCAAGTGGCGGCGCTCAGGGACATCCCAAGTGGCGGCGCTCAGGGACATCCCAAGTGGCGACGACCATAGCAGCCGCCGGTGACATCCCGGACCACAGACTTGACACCACGACACATGACACTAGTGTAGATAAAATAATAGGAATTTATTTGACTTGTTGACATTTGAGACGAATCACTGTGGCTTCTATCGCTTTCACCTGTTCATTATTGCTTCTCACCAATAGCCATACCTTATTGTTAGTAATGGCGCCTGTTGATGTATTTACCGTACAAGTGCAGAGGGTTCTAGTTTATCTTGTATTAGTCTTAACTATTTACAGATACAGGTGTATGCCCCAATATTTTGCCCAGGAATGAAAGATACATACCGTATGTGTCATACTACAATTATTTTTATTAATTTTATGATAATTGACCAAAGAAATCACATTAATGTGATGTAAATTTAAGAAACTCAGCAAGAGCCTTGTGGAGGACTACCTGGGAGTACTCAGTGCATGGGTTCGAATCCTCTCAGTAGTGACTCCTACTGATTTTCTCATTTATAATCATTATTAATAATACTATTAGAATATCATTATATTTGTCAGAATTATTATTATGTTAAAGATTTCAAGTTTTCAAGTTAGAAATTCTCTTTTCTATATAGTTATATATAGCAATGCTCGGTTTCTGAACTTCCATGGAGTTTTATTGATAGGTCATTCACAAACACATTTTTGTAATTGTCGAAGTATTAATTTGTTGGAGTTGTCCTCACTATATTTGTTATTAACATTATTTCTTTATTGCTTTGTAATTTACTGAAATTATTTACATTATTATATGTGAAGAACCAATTTTTATTCCAATCATTAATACTTATTATGACTGTCACTATTGGTTAGGCTCTTGCAGTTATTTAATACCTTTTGCCAATTGTACAAAGCATGACTTGATTTGGGACGAGTTGGGCTTCTAGCTCCGCCTTCAGAATATTTGTTTAATGTTGTGCTTAGTGTCTACGCTTTTCTACATATATAACATTCTGAACTGGACTTTAACGACTTCTTCGTCTAACCCATTCCACTTACTGACAACTCAAACACTAGACAAATTGCTTTCTAACATCTGTGGCTCATTTATACAATGATTCTTAGTCTACTTTGTAGGCTTCCCTTAGAATATAATATGACATATTCTCCTTATAAGTCCTCTCCTCCAGCGTGGTGAGGTCCTGTGCCCTCAGTCTTTCCTCATAGTTCAAGCTTTACAGCTTAGGAACGAGCCTTGTTGCTTTTCATTGGAACATTTCTTGTTTTGACTTGTTCTTTCCCTGGTGATGGTGCCATGTAGCGACTGCATTTGCAATTGGTCTCACGTAAGCTTTGTATATGACTCAGAAGGTTCACTGAAATTGAAATTGAAATAAGTTTATTGAGGTATAAATACACTCAAAGGGATGAGGTAGCTCAAGCTATTCTCACCCCCTTCAGTGAGAAAATATATAATATATATATATATATATATATATATATATATATATATATATATATATATATATATATATATATATATATATATATATATATATATATATATATATATATATATATATATATGACACACATCGCAAACATATTACGGAACATTGTGAGTGATAAACATACACATTTCTAAACATATACGTAAAGATCATTTGTGTAAGTTACTGCATGGTACATGGACGCTGGCCAGATGTGTGTGTGTGCTACTGGCGTTATTCTGCTTGATGGTGCCTCTGGCATTAGATTTCAGGGTGTGTTTACTCCCAGGTCTTTCTCCTTTTCTGATGCAATAATCTGTCTCCCCTTCATCTCATGCTGCTGTACAGGTCTTTTCGTTCCTCTGTTCTTATTCTTATAGCTTTGCATTTGGCTGAGTTAAATTCTAACAATCACTTGTTAACTCACTTCAGAGTGTCTAAGAATCCGTTTGCTCTCTGTTAGAAACATGATGGGGAGTAACACCGACTCTTGTGATACTTCTCTCCTAACCTCTCTCCACTCTGGTATCTACGCTCTCTCTATAGTTCTTTGCCTCCTTCATGAAAGGTACTCCCATACCCACATATGGATTCTTCCCGATACACCAGACTGTTTCCCTAGTTTGAGAAGAGGTTTCTTGTATGGGACAATAGCAAATGCTTTATGAAAGTAGAGGAACATGCAGTCGGCCCATCCCTTTCTTCTTTTTGTCATCTTATTGTCGAGCTCGAAAGTGTTTCAAGAACCATTTATTAACTAAAATTGAGCTGGTTTTTTAAGACAAAATTTAGCTGTTCTAAGTGATCTACAGCCTGTGTAGAATCAGTTTCTGTAGCATCTTGTAAAGGATACTCGTTAGTGATGATGGTCACTATGATGACCATAGTATCACTATGATGATACTCGTTAGTGATGATGGTCACTATGATGACCATAGTATCACTATGATGATACTCGTTAGTGATGATGGTCACTATGATGACCATAGTATCACTATGATGATACTCGTTAGTGATGATGGTCTATAGTTCAGCGATTTTTGTTTGTCCTATTTTGTGTGTGTATTTACTATTTGTACTATTTTACTATCCGTAAGTGTGGAATTAATTAATAATCAAAGGGAATACTGAATTATGATTCGGTGTTAGAATCGGCGCCCAACTCAACTCGGCCTCGCCGGCTACCCACGTGGTACGGACCAATTCACATAAATTACACAAAAATGGAAAATAATAAAAAAGACAATTTAATAACTAAATGGTTTATTCAAAAACTAAACAAAATCTAAATCAATGCACTCCCTAACCTGAACACTTCCTACTTGACCATATCGGCAATGAGAAGACCTGTTCCCTATAACAACTCCGAGCAAACTTTACCTTTTTGGCGACCAGCTAGATGTTTGTGCTAAGGTCTTGGGGAGAGGTGAAGTGGACACCTTTCCCGGGTTGCTTCCGGATACCACACTGTCCTCTCTCCGATGCTCCTCTACCCAGGAGCCCAGAGCAGAGTATTGTTCCGCCTAGTTTACCAAGTTACTTAGCCAAGCTTAAGTTTAACAACTAACCTCTGTTGCACTGAATGATTCAGATTAGTTGAATTATTTTAACTGAAGTTACTTACACAAGCATCTTAGGGAAGAGCTATTCCCAATTACAAAATGGCTATTTGACCTTTGAGAATTACTGAATGTGGAAACTCTGGTGACCTGTGACCGCCAGGTCGCCGAGGTCACTCCGCGCTACAGCCTAGTCCTGGCTCGTGACGTCACTGATGGTGACTTAACTCATTCTCCTAATAATTAGAATACTCTTTATATTATAACCAGTTATATTATACAATTTGAATGTAGACTAATTTCTCTAAATAAGTGAATACTATAGAATGATTCATTATACGTTGCTATGAGACAAAGGGTGCCAGCCATTTTGTGACCCAGACTTGCTAATTCCCAGGGGGATGCGCCTTGTGCTTCCAGGGTCAGGTCACTACCACTTGACTCCAATCTCCCCAAACTCCTCTGTCTGAGATAAAACATTCTAGATCATTCCCACAACAGCTAGTTTGTTACATGGCTTCTTCTCTTTGCCTCCCGGCACTGTTAAACCATGGGATAAAGCTCTTCTTGGCATTCTTATCCGTCAATGCTGGAGTGAACCTTTTCCATCCACTTGAGTTCTCCCTTTACGTAGCCAATTATATCTCTCCGTGATTCACTGTAGGAATGTTCCATCCTGACATTCCCCTTTCTGGAATGCAAGCTTTACACTATTTTTTTTATATTTTTTTAGCTCATTTTATGGCCTACATTGTCACTACATATTCGAAGACTAAAACTTGCTCACAGACTTACACTCGGTGCTCCTTGTGGCATTTCATGTAAATGTTTTCTATGTCTATAAAATTCTGCATGAAGCTCAAATTTGTTTAGCTGGCGGATCACCACCCATTCTTCTTGCTTGCTTCCTGACATGTTGCATCAGGAAGTTTCTTTCTACCCTTTCTACAAGCTTTGCTCTCCATGTCTTTTTTTCCATCTTCAGGTCCATAGTTTTCCTCTCTGTTTTGTCATGATTGAAATTCCGTATTGCTAGCCGCTTAGATCTCAGTCTAAGGCTTTCTCAGCTACCTTTTGGATGATATTAATGTATACTGTGTTCGAAATTTCATATTCTTGCCTCGGTCTTTTATATTTCTCTTGGGCTTAGAATTGGGCTAGACGGTAGAACGACGGTCGTGCTTCATGCAGGTCGGTGTTCAATCCTTGACCGTCCAGGTGGTTGGACACCATTCCTTTCCCCCCCCCCCCCCGTCCCATCCCAAATCCTTATCCTAACCCCCCCCCCCCCTCCTTTTCCAAGTGTTATACAGGCGTAATAACTTGGCGCTTTCCCCTGATAAATCCCTCCCTTCTTGTCCTTGTTGATGGCAGCCACGACCTCTCTCACCTTCTATGGGAATGATCCCACGATGGTTTCCTTGTAATTGTTTGCCTTCTTTCAGGAAATCGTTTGAAAACTTATTTCTTTTGACCAGGAGGTGTCCCTTCGAAATCTTTCACTTCAGATTATCTGGCATAACCGTGGGGGATAATCATTGTTAATCATGTCAAGGCTTAATTTAGTCTGGTCTCGTGCTATGACAACAGGGGTTTGTATCCCTAGTCTTTTCCTGGAGTTTGTTATATTTGACAGTTTATCAGCATTGGTGTAACAGATCTTCAGTCTTAATTGTTTTTCTGTCCCGTAAACGGTTAGTTTCCGGTATAGGGATGGGGTTCCGGATGGGTTCGGGGTTATCGGTCAGCAGTGGAGGGGAGGGGTAAAAATGGGGGGTGCAAGAGAATAGGTATATGGATGTCTGTGAGGCAATGGGGTGACAGTTTAACAGGCCGAGGAAGGTACTCACCTAGTTGTGCTTGCCGGGGTTGAGGTTCGGCTCTTTGGTCGCGCATCTGAACCGTCAATCTACTGGTGTACAGATTTCTGAGCTTCTCGAGCTCTATATCTACTTTTGAAATTGTGTATGGAATCAGCCTCCACCACATCCATCACTTCCTAATGCATTCATTTGCTAACTACTCTGACACTGAACAATTTCTTTCTAATGTCTCTGTGGCTCATTTGGGTACTCGGATTCCACCTGTGTCCCCTTGTGTGAGTAAAACCCGTGTTAACTTGAATTACCCATCCTTCCCCCCCCCCCCTGATAATTTTGTATGTGGTAATCATGTCTCCCCGGGATCTTTTGTCTTCCAGCAAAGTGAGATGCAACTCACGTAGCCTTTCCTTGTAACTCATGCCTCTTAGTTCTGGGACTAGCCTAATGGTATACCTCTGAACTTTTTCCAGCTTCGTCTAGTTCTTGACAAGGTATGGACGCCATGCTGGGGCCGCATACTCCAGGATTGGTCTTGCATACGTGGTATACAAGGTTCTGAAGGATTCTTTACAAAGGTTTCTGAAGGCACTTCTGATGTTAGCCAGCCGTGCATACGCCGCTGATGTGTGTTTATTTTTCAACGTATCGTCTCAAACATATAATGTCGTAGATGATCTGGAGGCTTTACTTTCTTCAGTGCTCCGTTAGTTTGTCTTCCTGGGTTCTGACTGTCGGTCCGTCTGTCATATCCTAAGACAAAGGGGGGTATTTGAGTGGCAGTTTTAGGATCTTTCAAATATATGAGTGTGTGTCAATCCTGAAATGTAGGGTGAGCTTGGGGCCAGTGTAATTCTTTCGGTTTAGTGTTGTTCGGTCACTGTGTATTGTCGTCTGTTCCGTTGTCTACCTGCCTGTGTTGGCGTGCTGGTATTGAATCACTCAGGTCTGTCTCGCCAGTCAACCCCGATCGAAACTCGGGCCAGGGCGGTGTTCTCCTCCGTCTTCAAGTCACGGCGACCTGACCAGAAAATCAGGAGTCTTGTAAATTGGTTGTTTCAATGCCTTGAAGATTCTTTTGAACGCTGTTTTTCCAGTCTTTCTTTTCTTCGTGTTCTTGTTGTATGTTTTTATTTGTAAGTGTTTGTACGTGTGTATCCGTCCTCACGGGTGTATCTCTCAGCATGCGTCCTATGCCTTGGCATCTTTGTACATTTGATGTACGCTTGTATGTGCATTTCGGTGCACGTTTAAGTGAGCGCATTACGTACACTCGTGAACACTTGTGTGTTCGCCTAACTCCATGCATGTCTAAAATCAACCACAAAAAACTTCCAACACAACACAAGCACGCAGGTATAAACGCCCCTCCAGCTGGTCTCCCCTGCTTCCTCCACCCCCGCAGACTGCTGGTGCCGTAGGAAAGTCAACATGCACTTCTGGATAGACAAGAGGAGTGTCTGCGGCTTGCGGCGCGCGGCTCCGTTAGTTCGGCCCGCCCGTCAGTACTGTCCCAAGCCTCGCTACCGCCCCATGCTCACCCCTGTACACAGGTGGGTCCCCTCCTCACCCGTTGCTCACCCCTGTAAGCAGGTGGGTCCTCCTACCTTCCCATCTGTTTACCCCCATACACTGGTGGGGTTCTCCTTTTCTCACTGATCACCCTGTATATCTGCGGAATTACCCTGCCCCCGTGTTCGTAGGTGGGTTCCCTCTTCCCGGTGATCATTCATGCACACGGGTAGATCCACCTTAACCTGTTGGTCACCCACGTACATGGGTGATTCAGCACCTTCCCTCTGATCGACCTCCCACATAGTAACCACCCTTCCTGTTGATTACCACCCCATGTAACATGATGGGAGTCTGACTTTCCTTGTCGATGAATTCCTTTTCACATGTGCGCCTCGCATCCACGTTGCTCACCTTTCTACAAACACACACACACATGCTTACCCCCTTTTCCACTGCTTACCCACGTACACACGATGTTTCCTCCTGCTCCCCCACCCCCCCATCTCCACTTTCGTGTAACATTAGGTGGGTTACCTCTTACTGGCTACCCCCGTACACTAGTGGGTCCTCCCCGGGCAGCGTTAGGTCCAGCCGTCGGTCGCCCCTGTACACGAGTGACCCATCAGTTAGACATCCCCCCGTACATAGGTGGTTGCCCCCTGTAGGGTGCCGAAGGGGGAGGGTTCATGTTGTGACTCGGATATAACACTTAGAGTTTGAATGGTGGCCAAAGTGGAGTTAGGTTTTAATGTAAAGTAACACAAAAGTAACACAAGAGCAAGTAACACATGAGCAAGTAACACAAGAACAAGTAACACAAGAGCAAGTAACACAAGAGCAAGTAACACATGAGCAAGTAACACATGAGCAAGTAACACAAGAGCAAGTAACACAAGAGCAAGTAACACACGAGCAAGTAACACAAGAGCAAGTAACACATGAGCAAGTAACACATGAGCAAGTAACACAAGAGCAAGTAACACATGAACAAGTAACACACGAGCAAGTAACACAAGAGCAAGTAACACAAGAGCAAGTAACACATGAGCAAGTAACACATGAGCAAGTAACACAAGAGCAAGTAACACAAGAGCAAGTAACACATGAACAAGTAACACAAGAGCAAGTAACACAAGAACAACTAACACATAAGCAAGTAACACATGAGCAAGTAACACAAGAGCAAGAAACACAAAAGCAAGTAACACAAGAGCAAGTAACACATGATCGAGCAAGTAAAACATGATCGAGCAAGTAACACATGAGCAAGTAACACAAGAGCAAGTAACACAAGAGCAAGTAACACATGAGCAAGTAACACAAGAGCAAGTAACACAAGAGCAAGTAACACATGAGCAAGTAACACAAGAACAAGTAACACAAGAGCAAGTAACACATGAGCAAGTAACATATAAGCAAGTAACACATGAGCAAGTAACACATGAGCAAGTAACACAAGAACAAGTAACACATGAGCAAGTAACACAAGAGCAAGTAACACAAGAACAAGTAACACATGAGCAAGTAACACATAAGCAAGTAACACAAGAGCAAGAAACACAAAAGCAAGTAACACAAGAGCAAGTAACACAAGAGCAAGTAACACATGAGCAAGTAACACAAGAACAAGTAACACAAGAGCAAGAAACACAAAAGCAACTAACACATGAGCAAGTAACACAGGAGCAAGTAACACAAGAGCAACTAACACATGAGCAAGTAACACAGGAGCAAGTAACACAAGAGCAAGTAACACAAGAGCAACTAACACATAAGCAAGTAACACAGGAGCAAGTAACACAGTAGCAAGTGACACAGTAGCAAGTGACACAGTAGCAAGTGACACAGGAGCAAGTAACACAGTAGTAAGTGACACAGTAGCAAGTAACACAGTAGCAAGTAACACAGTAGCAAGTGACACAGAAAGTGACACAGTAGCAAGTGACACAGTAGCAAGTGACGCAGTAGCAAGTGACATAGTAGCAAGTGACACAGGAGCAAGTGACACAAGAACACGTAACACAAGAACACGTAACACAAGAGCAAGTAACACAAGAACAAGTAACACAAGAGCAAGTGACACAGTAGCAAGTGACACAGTAGCAAGTGACATAGTAGCAAATGATACAGGAGCAAGTGACACAGAAGCAAGTGACACAGGAGCTGTAATGATCTGGGGCTCAGATCATTGGTTCTCCCTTCTCCCCTCTTTTCCCTCCCCTTCTCCCCTCCTTTCCTTCTCCCTCTCCCCTCCTTCCTTCTCCCCTCCCCTTGGCCGTCATTCGTCTCCTCCTCTTCCCCCCCCCTGTCGCCCATTTGTCAGGGTCAAGAGGTTGACCTGAGGGTAGGGTGGTCGTGGATACCTTGGCTTCTCCCACTCAATTCCCCACTCAGATATTTCCCTCTCCACCCCCTCTCATCCCTCTCTGTCCCTCTCAGCAGCGGCCTTCCCCATACCAGGCAGAGTCAAATGTCCCTACTCCTATCTTAGAGGAGACAGGCTTGAACATAAATTATCAGTTTTGTAAACATTGCTCGCAGGTGCCTGGGCTCCATAGACGCGCCTTGTCCCTCTTCTCTTTAGCTGGGGAGAGCTGACTCAATCTTCAGAAATTCATGTAGCTTCCACGACAGATCAGTGAAGGTGATTGGCCTGAGATAAGGGCCAAGTCCTTATTGGCCCTAGAGAGCCAGACCTCAGGCCTACGTGTTAAATGGTTGGCCAGGGCCAAAATAATGGGTGGAGCCCTGGGGCTGTATTAGATGGTGGGAGGAGTAATCCTTCCCAGCAATAAGTTGGAAAAACTAAATTTCATCAGTGTGTCTTGGGAGTGTATTAGGAACAGGGCCGCAAGCCCGTATCCTCGGGGCTGAGGGCAGCCATCAACATCGTGGCCGTAGTGCGGGTATTTAAGGTAGAGTAGCACTTGAGTTTCGTGTCCTCGGTAAATATCCATTGTGCCTCTAGGGAAATAGAATAGGTGATGTGTTCAAATTGTCTTAATTTACGTTTCATAAAATAAATTGTATAGCTTGTCCAGTGGTATTCACTAACTCCCCTTTGATATATTTTGCTACTTTGTCATTTTTAGGTGTTGTATTGGAAGCCCCCAGGTTCTCCTACTATTAATAGATACTAAAGTTGCCCTTGGATTTAAATTAGTAACGTAAATTACACAAACTAATTTTCCAAAATTTATTACTGAAATTCATATTACCCGGAGTCCCATGGTTACTGATTCCTTGCCTTCCTGGGGGATCAGTGATTGACACATTCAGGTATGGTGGGTCAGGAAGGTGGTGGCAGTGTAAATGTGTTTTGTTATTTGTTTTTTTTTAAACTAATAACCCTTGTCCTTGGTGTATCTTCCTCATTTAATATTCCTCTTATATACGGGGCAGTCCAGTGAGGGGTCATGCTGGACTGTAACAGTGTTAAGCTGGGGTATTGAGTGAAGAGAGACAGAGTTGTACAACAGAGAGCGTATATTACGATCACGAGATCCGACCTGACCCAGACTCCTGTCGTGCCATTGCTGACATGCCTACACCTAAGACAGCAAAGGATGTTCGAAGGTTTCTGGGGGCAGCCGGATATTTCCGTCGCCACATTGAGGGTTTTGCAAGTACAACAGCACCGTTAACTGAGCTTACTAAGAAAAATGTTAAATTCGTTTGGAAACCTGAGCATGATAACGCTTATGCAAAATTAAAAAGTCAACTCATTACCACCCTAGTTTTGGCAGTACCGGATTTTGATAAGGAGTGGGAAGTACACACTGACGCCAGTGGCATAGCTATTGGTGGGTGCTTAATGCAACGTGATAATGACAATCTTCCTCACCCAGTGGCATATTTCAGCAGGAAGGTTAAGGGTCCGGAGGTCCGCTATTCTGCAACGGATAGGGAAGCTTTGGCTGTGGTAGAAAGTGTCAGGTACTTTGAACCGTATCTTTTCCAACGTCACTTTGTCATTTATACAGATCACAGGGCTTTGACTCATATTTTTAAGAAAAGAACTAAGTGCCCTCGCATGTCCCGTTGGTCTCATGAACTAGCTGCTCACTCATTCCAAATACTTTACAAGCCTGGGCCATCACATGTTGTACCAGACACTTTGAGTAGAAACATTGCTACTATTAACGTAAATCTTAACATTGAAAATATTTCCAGTGAGAAAATGCGAGAATTCCAGATGAACGAACCAAGGTGGAAGGAAATTATTGAACTTTTGGAGGGAGGAAAATATCCGTCGAAGAAACGTAATTTAGCAATTCATGATTTTGAAATGAAGGATGGGGTCTTATTTTATGTAAAGGGACAGCAGGATCGTGCCGTTTTTCAGTTGGTTATCCCAGAGGTGTTGAAGAAGTCGGCGTTGAAACTCGCACATTCGTCTAAGATTGCAGGTCATCCGGGGATTTTTAAAACTCACATGAAAGCCAAGTCACTCTTTTTCTTCCCCGGTATGTTAACAGAGGTCATTAACTTCGTTAAGTCCTGTGGTCACTGTCAAAGGAGGAAAGGTACCCTTAAGGTACAAGCTCCATTGCAAGAATTCCCAGAAATTTTGGAACCTTTAGATCGGGTGGGGGCTGATCTGATTGATCTGCATCACAGTCATTCAGGAAACCGTTACGTATTGGTGTTGGTAGACCACCTGTCCAGGTACACCACACTGATTGCATTGCCTCAGAAGGATTCACGAACTGTTGCAAAGGCGTTCTTAGATAGGTTCGTCACTGTATTTGGTCCCCCTAAAGTGTTAGTTTCTGACCGAGGTCAGGAATTTAATGGGAATATTTTTAGAGAAGTATGTAAAATTGTAGAAACCACTTCAGCATTCACTACGGCTTATCACCCTCAGGCTAACGGCATGACAGAACGGACGAACCGGTCAGTTAAAGATATGCTTGCAATTCTTGCAGAGCATGATGCAAATTCGTGGGACGAACAACTCCCCTATGTCCAGTTGGCTCTGAACACTGCCATCCATCGATCCATTAACACCCAACCCCTTTTGCTGTTCACAGGTCAT